ATATATAGTTTAGTTAAACAATTTAACACTCCAAGTCAAGCATGTAAATTTTAGAATAATAACCAAAATAATATCGTGGAATGTTTACATAATAACTAAATTCTGAAAAATAGTTGAATAAAATATAAAGAAATTGAACAGAAGAACTCAACACAATTGCCTCATTCACACCTCATTGTGTACATTTTGAAGAAGCTGACGTTAACTGCAAGTAACATAGGGAATAAGAAGGAAACTCTCTGAAATACATTGGATTTTCGAACACAATAACTGTATGGATACGATTGACAAGTGCTATTCTGAAAAGAGTTGAATGGAAGTTTGGCTTCTAGATTACTTCACTAATACTGATCAACATTAGGTGTTTTTAACTACTTAAACTGCTCACAGTATTCAGCTTTATTAACTCGAATAAGTAGTGGCTGCATAATTTAAAAGTATCACCCTATTTAGTTGACTCACGGCGAGCACATTAATGTTAATCCACTGGATTGCATGCAATTCAATGATCCATGTTTTCCAATTCCTGTCAGTTTGTGATATCAGCCAAAAATCATCCAATGTCACCACTAAGTATCTGTCTCATTCTGGACTTGGCTAACACTGACAATAATCACTTCTCACTACAAACGTTTCTGGAACTAGGATGGAATATCTATCCTGTGCTCCCATGATTCACTACTTTCCCCACAGACCCTAGATAAAACCTCTCACAAATCGGCAAACCTGTAAAAATCATTAACTGAGTGGCTATTCGGCACTCACTAGTGAAATTCGTTGTGAGAGATTTCTGGAATTTCTATTGACAACTCATGAACTGTGTGGTCAGTTAAGTTGAAGACCGATGAGAACGCGCATTTGCCGCCATAACCGACGTCCCTGGGTTCTGTCCCAAACGTGTACTGATGAGCAGTCCTGAAATGAGTCGAAACAGCTATCCAGAGCTTAAAGGCTTTAAACGGCTCTTCGCATAACCTTATTCTATCATGAAAACTAATTTAAGATTAACAAATACATAAATAAACCACCAATGGAACTGTATTGAATAGAAGCATATGAGTTAGAAACATCTAATTTCAGTTTTCAGTGGCTGTTGATCTCATCCGTATTCATAAATAATGTTCATGGATTCACTAAAACGAAATGTGTTTATACAGTGGATGACCACGATATGATGCAAAAAGTACATTGAGCATGTTTAATGGCTTCATTGCTGTAGTCAACTAAAATGTGTTATTTGTAGAACACATAAGCAGCTTTATAATTGGACGTTTCGTAGGATTTCTTGATTACAAAGTTGATAACTAAGTTTTGTCCTGACAGGTTTTTTCTCACGTGATATGCGTGCTAGGTAAGGCGTAGTCGAACTCTTCTATTTAGCTGTACTAGCACAAAGTCTTATGTAACTCCTTTTTGTCTCCCCTGGAGAAGATACAAGCGGAAAGCTGTGAATAAAATGGATTCTCAGTATCAGTTAAAATTACTGCAGCTGGTTGCCTGCCTCAATTCAAATGTCTGTTCACTGCGGTGCGTGCTAACCACTGGAGCCAGAGGCTAGATTTCAAAGTCCTACGCAAGATGACCTAGTTCTTTTTTAGTAGAACAAGAAAGATAAACGGGGAACAATAGAGAATAATAGTTGGAGCGCATGAGCTGATAAACTGTAGAAGTAGAGGCTGAGTCATACCAGAATATCTCCGTCTCTTTATGTAACAGGTTAGACGAAAGATTTTCTTGGAAGTCAACAAGATGTGAGATGACCGACAAGGATCAGAAGTAAAGCTCAATCAAAGATGGTTAAAACTCGATTTGCTTTCTACACCGATACCATGAGTACAACAGGAGTCGTGGAACGTAAGCAGGTGACGCAACACGCATTTGCGCCTGAGGCTAAAATCAACAGTTTGACACTTAAAAGGGTTTTGTATGAGACCGTTTGACAGAGACCACTGGTCAAATTCAGACAAGAAGCCATTTAATTCAGAGCAATCTAAATGAGGGTTAACTAGCAAAGAAGCCGTTATGTCATGATGATGCTTAATAAAACTTATCTTCAACAGAATGAGGACGAAAACAGAAATGGAGAAAGTGCTGCAACTTGAGGCACGCTAGCTTCAGTAGGCAATGAAGTGGGACTCTTCTTTTTATAAACCTCATACCTTTTTCCTTCAGGAAAATTGGAAGACAGTCACTTTGTAACACATGAACTATGCTATGCGATCACCACCGTGATTTATGGATGCATTGACTACACAGAGTACGACCCATGTATATGCACCACTAGATACCAAATCTCTGTGGCTGAATGCTTAACGCGTTCGTCGTGGAACCTGAAGATTGTGAATTTGATCCCCACCTGGTCGTTGGTGCGTACTGCTGACGAGTCCCACACTAAAATGAAACAGGTGTGCAGTGCTCCTAGGTTTTCTCAATGGTTCTCCAACTGACGTCAGTCCATGATGAATACCACCTGAAAATTAAAATCCCTATCCACCTCAAAATACATCAGTTCTACACAAATGTGAAACCAGCAGTGAGTCATCAAGACTTCTGACTTGCTTGGCACAGACAAGACTTTTGTAGTAATAAATTGTATCAACATTTCAGTGTTCAACAGAATGTTGAGAACAGGTGATGGGAAAATATTTAGGTAGATTAAAACCCACTGTAGTTTTATGGGTCGAGCGCTTAATGACTATTGTAGTTGTTAGACCTGATAATGCCTACCACTGATATTCGACATCATTTTCATCATGTCTCATTCAGCTAGTATGTTCAAGGTAGTGAAAATCACGGACTGAAATTATTTGGAGAACCACTGTAAAAGTGGGAGCACAGGAGACCCGTTTCGTCGTGGTACGGGACTCTTGACCAGTATGCACTCAAGACCTTCCCTAGGAATCGAACTCAGGACCTCCAAGTCCCTGGTATAGGCGTGGGCGTGTACTGCTGAGGAGTCCCATAGTAGAACGAAATGGCTGTTCACTACTCCTAGCTTTTCAATGGTTCTCCAATTGGTATCAGTCTTTGGTGAATGCTACCCGTAAAGTGAAAATCCCCATGAACCTCACTCAATATAAATTAGTATTGTCTTTTGATTGATTTTTTCTACATGATAGCATGTCTGAATCTAACCATACTATATCCTGTTTTACTCATTCAACAACATTCCTACTATACCTTAAAGTACTGCTTTCAGCTTGATCTAATGTTGACACATTAACCTTTGCAAACTACAGAATGAGAAAAAAGCTTTTCTATGAACTGAAAAACATGAACCAAAATCGAAAGATCCATTTCACCAAGTATGTTTTATGCGATCAAAGAGGTTACTTTATAATTTCAGCGATGAGAGTATACACGATGTTATAAGGTATCATAATCGATAAATAAATTTCAAAACAGTTTTTTTTAAATGGAACGGAATCAGTAGAATGAAAGCTATACACCTGGAAGTACTGAACAGTAGATCCGTCCCGAGTTTTCGGTGCTCCTAGTTGTCCAACCAATCTCATTTCTTAAAGAAACTATTCTAAAATCAATCAAATCCTATTATAAAAGTGAATTTGTCTTGAAAAGTTAACCGGAGATGATTCAGTGAAGTAAAGTCTCTTCTCCATGAATCATTTTCAAAAGATATACAATCGTAATGATACAAGAAAATGTATTTTCATCAATAGCTAATGGGCCAACACAAAGTCATCGAAAACAGTCGATAATGTCACTAGGTGATGAGGGCTACAATGTCAATCGAAGGTCATCAAAATATCATATAGGATTACAAGAAAGAAAGAAAGAAAGAAAGAAGTAATAAATACAGAAATGAATAAAATATCCCAGAAGGATAACGACCGAGATTATATTCGAGACTGAATGTATCTCCTTTGAACGTAGAGATCAGGATTATACTGTTGGATTGTGAAAGTTTCTGCTGAGTTGAGACGGTGAATATGTACTCCCTTTAAAATGTTTGATTTCACTGTATAAATGACTTTGAAAGAATATCCACTTGGAACGTAGTGACCGGAGTTAACCGAATGCTCAAGAGTCGACCTGTCAATATCTCTATACTCTCCTTTAGACAGCCATTCAGTTTAGTGTTTGGAGATGCATGTGGATAGAACACACTTTGTGTGGCCTATGTTAACGATTCCACAAGAGCAAGCACACACATGGTGTACACATATGAATGTGACCAGTAGGTGAAATTCTGAGTTAATATCAGTTGCCATGGTACATTTAACCTACTTGTGACATTCTCTGAACTTTGGGAGTATATCTTCAAAGTTACTATCCTCCTCACAGATGATGATTCTCATCCGTGTATCTCTTATACAGGTGGAACTTGTCAATCAGCGGACACACTTTACCTCTCTATCGATTGTCCATAAGCAGTCAAGTAGTAGAGGATATGATGGTTAACCCATTGCTACCCCATCGCTTTGTCCACATAGTTCATTGTCGAATCTACATTGAACATTTGAGGTAGATCTTATGTCCACGAATGCCAATTTTATTCTTGGTGATCTGAATATAATCACACCGAAAGCAGATGGTTTCTGTCAAAATGACATTTGGGAACATCAATATCAGGTGTAATGATAAAACACGCTTACCACACACGCTGACATCTTTTATGCAGTTAACAAAGTCGAGGGATATCCTGAGAAACAGATTACTTCACTCTTTTTATTCAATAGAATTGAGTATCGAAATTTTCGATAGAGTTTTGACTATCTTGATTCTTCAATTCATACAATTTCAGGATATTCACTAAAAGAGTTCTCTTGGACAAATCTTGTAGAATCATTATTATCATTATTATTGTCACTACTTTTATTATTATTACGATGATAGTAAACAAATATGTTTATCAACTTCACGATTTTAATGTTGAACTAAGAAACTTTATCCGCCGACATTTGATTGGTCAGGCAAGCAGCTTACAAATACATAAATTTAGTCGATTAATAGCTAGATGAAAACACTTTTAATTCACTATGCAAATATTCCACTTTTTCAATTTTTCTATCTTCTTCTTCTTCATCTCTATAGCAAATGCTTACTGGCGTCCTAAAAATCCTTGGACCACTGAACTTTCTGAATTGTTAGCTCTACACAATGCATACCGACAAGCTGTGAAATACGGTAAAGTAGCAGATCAACCACCAGCGGTGAATATGGCACACTTAGTGAGTGTAGAGAAAAAGTGATTTCGAATAACTGTTGAATACACGCATCTATTTCACTGAAAACTTATTTTCTCACCTTCATCACTTATGCTACTATCCTCTCTTTCAGCAATGGTGTTTTAAATTAGCTTCACTCTCTCGGAACTGGGCGATGAGATGTCAAAGTGAACGCAGTAATATGACAATGAGGCAAGGCGCATCATGGAAATATGTTGGTCAAAGTGTAGCTGTTGTTTCAAATGTCAGAAAGTAAGTTTCTTACTATTTGTGAAGTCGAGTATATACTGGGTATTCAAATAAACAATAATAATTCAATACTATCTGTGACGATAAATCTTACTCCTGGACATTAATGTAAAGCTTGTTACAGAAAATTATCCAACCGCTAATCTCTACCGACACTGAATATCACACTCTTATGAATATAAATGTATCAGCAATACATTCCTCTGAGAGATTAATCACAGGGTCCGTTATGTACCAACCATCTTCTCGTTTTCCTTAGAGATTACGATGTATAACATATTGATAGCGTTCATGGAATCATTAATTGAGGACCAATTCACCTGATTATGCATTAGAGCGCAAACATTATCCATATTACCAGTGTACAAATATTCTTAAGGGTTACTTGTAGCACAAAAATCAACTTGCACTCAATGTGAAAAGATAAATTGTAATAATAGTATTCATGGATAACTATCATCGCATCTATCCATTTATTATTATTATTATGGTGTTGGTGTTGTTGGTGGTGGTGGTGATCGAGTATCTTCACCACCTCTGTCTTCTCTACGTTCACCTGAAGAAAACTCCGTCTTCTCATCCCTCCTCCCCCTCTTCTATCAACTTGTTGGATTTTGCATTTAGGTCAGTCCTTTCTTCATGGACAATCAACATCTCAATGTAGGCTACAAAAAGCACTGAAAAGTCTCAAATATCTAATCTGTCCTGTGTAATTTTCTCTGTGTGTGTTTGTGTGTCTGTGTTATTTGAATAATCCTCACATTTTCATCTTCACATTTACAGTGCAGTTATTCAGTGGTTCAGTGAGCATAACAACTACAACTTCATAACGAATCAATGCAAAGAAAAGAAAACATGTGCAAACTATAAACAAGTAAGTTAGTTTTATGTATGGTTGATATGCTAACAACAGTCATGGTCAAACAGATGAGTGGATAGACCCTGGTACATAGGATAGAATTAATCTAGTGTTCAATGGTGATTAGCTTCTAGAGGTGATTCCTAATGTTCCAATGAGAATTGAATTGAATTGAATTGAACAATGGAGTCAACCAAGTCGGACTTGTGAACAGTTAGTCAACGACGACGTTGAATGTAGGTCGCCGAGTATCGTGAACTACCAGAAGTAAGAAATATCGACCATGGGATTCCGACCCAATGGCTCGATGTTGGCGTGCAGGCCACAGAATCTGAAGGTTCTTGGTTCGTCCCGTGTGGGGTGGTGTGTGTGCACCGCTGAGGAGTTTCATACAAGTGGGACGAGACAGCTGACCAGTATTTCCATGTTTCCAATGTCCCTCTAATTGATATCAGTCCATGATGAATTGCAACCGAACATCAATTCATAGATCTGCACAAAACTCCAGATAGGAGGACATTATTCATTAATTCAATGTAAATAGTTTAAGTGATGTTTGAAGGTCGAATATGAAAATAGTAGTTTTCTGAATTGGAAATTTATTCAACCTCATTTTATCATTGAAAATGGAAGGTAGAATCAACATGCCATCAGTATTGCAATGGTTGCAAATGCTCATTGTGGAATTTGTAGGCGTTGCACTTGTGTGTATTGAGGAAGGGAAGACAAGTTAACATATGAAAAGCTGTTCAAATAGTTGAAATAGTTGTTGACGGAATGGGAAAGGCTTTCGTTTAACTGGCTTCCCTGTCTACAATCCGTGGATCACTACTTCTTGTGGTTGTTAATCTGTGTACGTGTAAATAAAGAGGAGAACGTGGTGGTTAAAATGTGAAGATTCACGTGGTTCTGGATAGATGCCAGACACATGTCAGGCAGGCATGCATTCGGCGTTTAAAGGATTCAGACGAAGTAGCCTAGATCACATCTTCAGAAAGAGCATTTCGGAGTTTAACAACTCTTAGGGAATATAAGTTGTCTGATATCTAACCCGCTATGTTTCAGGCCTAAATTTCTGTGTGTGTGTCCTCTAAGATTAGTGCTACAACTAGAATTTGATGAGTGACGCAGTGGATGACCAGGCGTGCTGAGAATGTCGTGAGTCATTATTAAGTCTCCGTTTAGTCTTCTGTATTCCAGAGGATACAGATCCAGTGCAACCAGTCGTTCTTTGTATGTTCTAGACCTAAGTCCTCGAACAGATTTTGTCGAGCGCCTCTCGATGCGTTCTAAGCTTAGTTTGTACTTCTGGAGAGAGAAGGTGGGAAGACGATGGTCTCTAAATCCAGTTAAGACCGTAAGAGGCTGTTGACAATTTGATGGAAGCATCTACGATCGAAGTGTCCGAAAATTCGTCCAAGTGTAACTAACGCCTAGTTTCCACGAAATGCATTTCTGTCACATTTGACGTAAGATTTTACGTCTTGAGACACTGAGACGCGCAAATCCTTTTGTTTCATTGACGCTTCAAGTCCCTTACCGTTGATGCTATGTATGTGAGATGCATCGTGTTTCACGTGTATCACCTTGCATTTTTGAGGATTAAATGCAAGTCCGTTGTTGACTGTGCAGTTGTGAAGTTGACTTAGGTCTTCCTGTAGAGAAACACTGTCTTCTTCACATTCTCTCCAGAGTTTCACGTTGTCGGAATAAAGAAGGATTTTCGAAGGAACCTGTTGAGGCAAGTCGTTTGTGCATATTAGAAAGAGGAGAGGCGCTAGTACTGAACCATGTGGATGACCACTAGGACCAACCGTATCTCCGATAGGTTTCCTGAGGACAACCAGTTATCAAAAGCTAGATAACATAGCTTTCAGGTCTGTGTTCATTATGGACTGACATGAGTTGAAGAAACATTGGAAACCTGGAAGCACTGGACAGCTGTTCCATCACGGTGTGAGAAGCTTCGGCAGTGAGTAATCTTAATTGAATTTGCAAAATGTTTAGCCACAACTCAAACCTATAAACCAGGTTTTCTGTTTACATGCAGTTCGATTTGTGTAAAATTATAATTCACAATGGAAAGCTCATTGATGCGTTTTAAATGAAGACAGGGAGGAGTAAGACAATATTGCCGGCTACTACCACTGATCATCTTCCTAATTGTGTTCGACAGGACTGAAATGGAGTGGACTGGACTGGACTGGGTGATGCAAGGGACTGTGAGGAGTTGTGAGGCGATTTGCATACGCAGTTTGACCGATGCGATGAAGTGACCTGAGAAGGTTTACATTTCACCGGTGAGGATTAATGTCTAATATCGCACAAATTCGAAGATCTCAAGGCGAATGCTAATATGTTGAAAGAGGAGACGGCGCAGTGAATATGGGACTCGCTTCATTTGCACATGAAGTATGAACCACGAAAACAACAGCTATCTCCAATCACCATCAACGGGAGAAATCTAAAGGAAGTTGTCTCTTTCACACACCTACCCATTTAAGCAGCATCGCTTCAACCACAGCCGGCGGTGCTGGCACAGATGAGAATGTCAAAGCAGCTAGAATGGGAAAGCCAGCAAGTCAGGCTTTCCTTCATCAGTCTGAAATAATCAGTTTGGAGATCTACTACACTGCACTCCACTCCACTCAGCATAAAGTGTGGACAGCATGCAGATTTTCAACACAAATTCAGTGAAATAAGTCAGTGCTTCTTGAGATGCTTGGCGGTGCGTTACGAACAGCACTTCCAGCAAATCCATACACACATCGCATGAAGAGCTGCCGCCCACGCCCGCGCTCACTCGATACTGACTTTGAAGATCAGATGACCAGAATATTAAGAATAATCAGCAATGAACTCTGGCTGGCCACCTGACTGGCTGACTGGCAAAGAACCCAACCAACCAACCAAGAACCCGTCGCTCAACATATATGCAGTAGAAAGTGGAGATGGAGATGGATTTGATTAAGACTGAGAAGACCGTATGGAGAGATCACGCTTCAAGCCAGACCATGCAGTCGAGTGGACGATACGTGGGAGAGGACGAGTTGGGCGTCGGAGTTGATGGTGACATGGAGGAGATGCTGTGTGGAAGAAATGAAAGCTTATGGGCAGTGGTGTAGGCAGGTTCGTAAGACTGTAGAGGGGAGAGTGAACTGGTTGCGTGCTTCTGAAGCCGTATGTTCCACTAGAAACTCAATGGACAATACTGCATTAATGATATGTGAAAATTATACATAAATTCAGAGTGTCGATTTCTGTATGTTGTTCATAGACCACTGTCTAGCTAATAGTGTATTTGCAGCAAGGAAATTGACTCACGATTTGCTTGTGAATAAGAAATATGGTATATTGATTCCCTTTAAATTTTATCTTCATTTTTCAGTTGGTATTTTCTGAGACTACTCATGTTGGCTGTGCATACAATAAGTGTGGAAATTTCGCAGCACCGAATAATACTGTTGTTGTCTGCAGTTATGGACCAGGGTAAGTGGTTCTAGAAGATTTTTCCCTACTTTTCAATTTTATATCATATGCTCCCGTTTTTCCACCAAAACGCTTTTCCTGGAGTTAGTTTCAAACTGTTTAAATCTGAGATTGTGAATTTAACCTCTAATCGAAGTTGATTCAAACACTGGAAATAAACTGTTGAATAGCATGACGATGAATCTGATCTCAGATTGTTTTAATAATAGTAAGATACAACTCATTTGGCGGTGATAAATATGAGTAGTTTGCTTGGTTAGAAGACTCCAGATTTTGACTATGAGTATTGTTCGTGCATTGGAATACTATGAATATGCCTGTGATTATTTTCAGAGAGCAAAACAGTGACTGATTAAACATCGTATAAACAATTTTTTTGATGCTAGCTTATGACCTTTTCTCTCAGATCAAATCAAATGCTGAACATTTGATTAGGACTTGATTTACCACTCATTTGACTCAAATGACCCACTAGTTACATTATCCATTTCACCAGCTGTCGGTCTGAATTTGCCAGAATACGGTGATCGCTACTGGTTGGTAGCTTCTTAATTCCTTTTTTCCTGTGTTGTTAACGTTTTTGTGGCTAGAATTCGTGCTTTCCCAATAGCTTGTTTTCATACACTACGCTTCTTACTATCAGTAAGTAGCATCACATGATTACTTGAATTAATATGAGGATGCAATATTGCTTGAACTCAGATATAGCGAACAGTAGTATTCGTGATTTTGTGTAGATTTTCGCTCCTATGTATGATATTGTCTCAGTCGAAAATTGCTATATATCTTGACTTGACGGTAGCATTTGACTTCATCGACAGTGAGGTGTTGTGACAGTGTCTGACTTTGAGGGGAGTACCAAGTAAGTATATGACGCAGGTTAAAGCTCTCCACTTAAAATCAAACAGCCCTGTAAGGGCTAATAGAGAGCTGTCATTAGAAGTGACGATAACTAGTGGTGTCCTTGATGGATGCCCACTTTCACCGTTTCCATTCAGATTCTTCGCAGGCGAACTAGTGGGCATAGCCCAAGGTACGTCTGACTTCACGTGGATTGATCTACTCCGCTACCCGATGGTCATCTGGTTGACTTTGAGTAGACAGACGATATTGTCCTGCTAGGTGAAGACCCTGACAAAGTTCAGGGTCTTCTGTATGCATTGAACAGAAATGTGAGTATGTTTGGTATACGTCTCACTTGCACCAGTCAAATGTCCGGCGATGCTCCAAAACTGGTCTGCAACCACTCCTAGTTTAAGGATAGGGAGTGAAGCGGTGAAATGCGTCGGCCACTTCATTTGCTTGTTGGAGAATGGCATCAACCATAACAGGCTGGTTGCTGCTATAATCTGAGTTCGGACACAGAAGGCCGTTTTGACATTTGCCCACTTGCCTTATCTATAGCGCCAGAATGCGAGAGATATCCGACAATCTGTCGAATGACTAGTACACTGTGTTGCAGCCCATTCTGTCTTGTTATATGGCTGTGAAACATTGCTACTAAAATTAGAAGACATGAAGCGGTCACAGAATGTTGATCAGAGATGTCTTCGTAGCATTGCTTGTGTGTCTTGGAACCACCGTGTGAACAATGTTGAGGTTATGCGAGGTGTACTAGGCATGACCGGCAAGTCGATTGATGAGGTGCTGAACATTCATCAGTTGAAGTGGCTTGGACATATGTTGTGTGTACCGATCCTCCACTTGTCTCGGCCTGGTATTCTAGGGAGGGGTGAAGTGAGTTGGGAGAGGATTCTGGGTGGTCAGACCAAGATGTAACACTATTGGATGGCAATCCTGAATGTTGGTCTGAGTCGTGTAAAGAGTTGTAGACCACCTGGTTGGAGCCCCCTAATAGAAAAGATTCAGTGACTGAGGACTCTTGATGATATGACTGAAAATCGGTGACAATGGTACAAATGTATTTACTCCGTGATATCTTCTAAAGCTTGAATCTTCTCACTAACTTCTATGTTCAACTGGCTAATTTTCTGACAAAACTTTGTCTAATTTGTTTACACTCTTTTTCTGTCCACCTACGTGAAGTGTGCACGTGTGTACAAGATCCTACGCTGAATTTGCCAGTCAATCAGCCAGTCAGTGGCTCAACCGGTTCCCATTATGACCGTAAATGAATTCCACTAACTTCAGTTAAATTATGGTCCTAACGAGATGTGTTGCTGCGTTATTATCTAATACAAAACTCATACTTTATGCTGCCATGCCGATCTAACTGCCACAACTGCAATATTTGGTTGACCGTATCATATAGTCACATGCTGTACTATATTTAATAATTTTACTTAGAATCCCAGTTTTAACCGGGTTTCAATACCAGATGAGAATAGACCAGAAATATTCATGACAAATCAAGCCTATAAAGATGAAAAACTTCTTTACGATCCTTAAGTCAGTCACCATGAATCTAGTCAATGGATAACATATCGTATGAGTGAATAATACAAATGAATTCCTTTGAACATGACTAAGTTATTACAATAACATTATAGGGTCGCGTTAGTAAAGATTGTTCAATGATTACCTCTTATGAACAATGAATTCACAGGAAATATCTTTTCAATTCTTCATGATTCTACTGCTTTCTCAGGTGACGATAACAACTGATCACCATCTAAGTAACTAACTACCTTCCATATCACAAACGTAGAGGCTAATTTCAATTTCATTATCTCTATAACACCTACCGTTAACATGGGAAATATTAATTCAGAGAATAGAAGTTAATTATTTGTTTCAACCTCAAATTCAAAGAGATTATATATGTTATTACAAACACCTTCAAGTAAGACTACTACTTGTTGCATAATCCACTTTGAATTTATTTTCAGAGGTAAATATGAAAGTCAAAGACCTTATAGGGAAAAGACAAGGAGAGAAACGGATTATGATGATATAATATTGTAAGTGAAAAGTTTCTTCTACACAATGAACATCATATGTTGCCAGAAATATAATGCAACTTTTGAAGTAAAAATAATTAACCACATTTTTTGAATTATTTAATAAATATTAGCACTCTAGTCTAACTTTTTCATTCTTGAATTATATTTCTAAACGAAACAAGCATTCAGTAACTCATCAAACTGATCAGTAGATTTTGTAAATCATGTCAAAGTGATATAAGCATAAATGAGTCATTTCACTAGTTTGAGACCGAGGACTTTAGGATTGTATAATATATTATTTTTATTATTATTATTTCCTTGAGCTCCTAGTGGAATATAGGGCTTCAGTAGCACACCTCAATTGCACTCTGTTCTATGCAGTCTTTTGAACCTGGTACCATGACTGCCTACAAGCTTTCATTTCTTTCTCACATGATCTCCTCCATGTCACCCTCGCCTCGGACGCCCAACTCGGGGTTTCGCCTTTTGATTCCAATCGAAGGACTGGCAGTTCGGACAGTCCACTTCCATTCCATCTGCAGATTCCTTGCACATTCCAAGCACTTCCATACCATCTCTTCTCATCTCTTTTCAATCTGGGCAGCCTTGCCAGCTAGCTTCATACATGGTGCGGACATTCCAAATACCCACCCTTACTTCACTTTCATCAAGAGAAGCGAAGACACATCGACTCACTGGCTTCCCGAAGGCTCTCACTAACCAACGTCATTTCCTCTCCCCGATTCCAGTGAGGAATAAGTTTGTTTTTATTTTTTATATTTTGTCTTTGCTTTGAAGTTTGTTTAGTGAGTGTATTGGTTTTGGGAGGTAGGGTTGGTAGCCTTATGCCCAACCTTCACTCTTTACCCAGGCTTAGGACCGGCTAGTGACTACTGAACTATTTAACCAGGCGAGGTTGTAGTCAATGGAAGATGGCGATTATTTGTCTCTTGCACCTTACCAATAGTGTAAAGATCAGATGGCCAGAATAATAAGAATAAGCAACAACGAACTCTGGCTGGCTGATTGGTAACAAACCAACCAACAACCTATCGCTCAACAAATATGCAGGGGAGAAGAGTGGAGATGTACTGGATTGGATTAGATTGAATTAGGCATGGGCTGAGAAGACCATTCGGGAACATCACGTGCCAGGCCAGTCCCTCGGGTGGAAACCAAAGGGGAAACGACGAGTTGGACATCCGAGGCGAGAGTGACATGAAGGAGATGACGTGAGGAAGAAATGAGAGCTTGTGAGCAGTCATGGTGCCAGGTTCAAAAGATTGCGGAGAATAGAGTGGAATGGAGACGTGCTACTGAAGCCCCATGTGATCAGATTATTCAAAATATTCAGCACAGTACATCACATTTTGCAGATAACCTATGTCTTCCAATTACCTTATCCAAATTCACAAAAGGAACCTTTTGTTTCCAATAGTAAAGTTGTTTATTGGGCATTACTTGGCCGAGGAAGAGATAAGGGTTGTACAAATTTCTTCTGGATACAAAGACTAGTATTAGCAGCTCAAATCCCACAGCTTTTCCTATGTGTAACAGATGAGTTGGAATACATTTCGAAAAATGAGGTGGTATGCGGTGAATAATCATGAGAGCATTGTATTCATTACCGAGTGTTCACTATCAATGAGGTGAGATAAAACTGAACTTCTGATGGATTTTATCTGTTCCTTTCCCAACCGTGAAGGTAGATGCTCAGCAACACGTCTATTAGGTTGTCTTTTAGTATGTCCTATATACCTTTCTTCACAGGAGTAGCAACAACAACTGTTCGGCTGGAAAGTGACATAGAGTTGTGCGGTGTAGAAAATCCTTTTATTGACTCTAGAGAGCTTCTGATATGAAACTTTACTGGCTTCATCTCCATTTAATTGCAATTCCATCAACAGCGGTTTCTTTTGAAAGGTAATAAATAATTCCAGGTTTATTTCCCCTTGCTGTGTCCATGTGTCTTTTTATGCAACTGTCAGAGTAGCCAATTTCCATCAATGAGTTACAAATATATTCTAACTTTGGAAGACGAAAGAGGAACATTGACTGAAATACTGTTGGAAAATAACTACCCATCAAAATTTATCAGGCAGCACAAAATAACCAGAGCGCGAAAATCACTGCCTTATTTGTTCCAAAGAAAGATTCCTTTAGCAGTCTTCTTACAAAGGTGATTCTCATAGTTTAACCCCTAAAAGCAGAATTAAAGCCGCTATTAGAAGGACTTTATATGCAGCTAGGTTTCGAATAACAGAAACCAGCCAACCCGTAAACTCTCCCGAAAACATGTGAACGACAATGTCACATCCCACTGCATTTACCAGTTTAGATGTACGTGTGGTGACACATACGCAGAAAGAACTTATAGATCATTCAGGTAAGGGCTTTCAAACAGATTCCAAAGTGGCTTCAGAACCAAATTAAACCACCTGAGCACACAAATGTTGGCAGAAGACATCCACGTTATTCGATCACGCAACATATCGTTGAGACCGTTCACAGGATTGACGTGGCTACTTCATTTACACCTATTTACAAAACGTGTTGAGGACAAATCCTTAAATTTGTTGAGGCCTTAGCTATTGGGAAGTTCAAACCACCTTTGTGTGTTCGAAAACAATTTGTTATCACAATAAATCTCCCTTAATGAATTCAACTATGAAAATCAAGTTCGATCTACTTCTATTTTCGCTCTATTGATTTTCATTGTTATCCCGCCTTTAATTCAGCCTTACTACATGACCTCTTTTTTCACCACTAATCTTCTTGAATTTTACGGATGTGATCAGATAGTTCGAAATGTATTGAGCAAATACACTACACAGTTCAGACAATTTGCGTCTTTTGATTGTTTGTCGTCAGACTATCATTTGACTATAGCAGTAGTTTGGCGGACTAGTATTTCATGCTGGGCGATGATTGTAGGTGAGATAGAAGTCCGAACCGCTGCCGGATTCGAACCATCGACCACCGGGTTACCTGCCCGGTGCTCTAGCAACTGAGCTACGAGGTCTGACTATTGTTTTGTCGAACTCTTGATGCATTAAATCGCCTGAATTTATTCTTTCTACTCTGTTGCTAAGGCACTTAACCAAGTTTACTTCGTACTGAATAGGCACGCGTCTAAGAAAATGTGTGAACTGTCCTACAGATATGACATGAACTTACCGGAAGGATAGAAACGGCTTAAATATTTCACCACAATACTGTTATTATGTCAAATGTTTGAGTTAGTAACATAATGAAACTAATAGTGTAGATGATAAACGAACAGCGCAAACATTTTAATGGAATTTTATTAGAATATACAGAGAAAAACAGAAAAATCTGATTCAAATTATATTTCAAAAGCGAAGAACAAGAAAGAATAAACAAATAAAGGAAAAGCAGGGACAATGGAGTGTTGTTTAGCCAATAAAATGCCACAGAAGAGGTAAGGAAGACTTGAACGTGTCCTTTTTGAATACTAATATCAGACTAGTTTGATCTTATAGCCACCGCTTCAGCTATATGCGGAATACTTAAACCAATATTAGGTGGTGAATGAGTTTTTGGAATGCGATATATCACAGTAAAACATGTGCCAGACTTTATGTTGTGTTCTGTGCCTACCAGACACTTTAGTATAGAACTTCGCATAAATTTGACCTCATCTCTTGCGAACCAATGCAACAGATGTCCTGGAATCCTAAGATGGATTTATCTCACAGTGCGCCCTGTGTAACTTGTTCCATAGGAGCAGGTGAATATGTATATGCATGATAATAAGCTGAGACTAAGTAATATGTCCTAAAGTCTCCAGTTGAATAACCAGAGGCTTATAATATGTAAGCACAAACTTCCTGCTTATTACTCTAGATAGACTTGGTGAAAGAATTCCACTTGTAGCATCACCTTTGAACTGCGGACGCATTGCTGTCAGTTCATGTTGTGGAAGACTATAAGAGGTATTTTGATTTTAACAAACTCCTCAGAATATCCACTTTCCCTTACAATATTCTGATGGGCTTGCAGTTTATTCCCAACACATTTCTTGGAGCAAATTTTTGTTGCTGTAAGTGCCGAACATGTAGTCGTATTTTGTTTGTACTTCGTTGACACAAAGATGAGGAACTGTGTATACGAGGCTTCGATAGGGTTCCTGCTTATCCTTCTTTCTATGGAGACATTTTCTTTTCTTATCAGTAAGACACAAAGGAAATGAAGAGAGCTGTTTCCTTCTAATTCCTATGTAAAATGAACTGCTGGATGGATGCCATGGAAGTGGTTGACAATCGAATCACTAGATATGTGATTACAGTAGACTAAAATGCATTTTAGACTTATCAAGAATACTAATTTATTTCAACAATGATGTTCTTCAACGGTCCTTTTTCTAATTCCGCTAAAATTTGAGTTCACCTCTTCATGAATTAATTTCAATGATTTCTGGACATTGAATTCATGTCCATCATTAATAAGAAGATAACGCCGTTGAAGGCTTCTCCGCCTTTCCATCGCAAACTTTTTAGAGTACATACAGTTACAAACCTTTCTCTTTTTTCGCTGTATGTATTCACTTTGGCATGTACCTGTGAATTGGTATATGCAGTTGAAGATGACATGATATCGCACTTGCCAACCTTAAATATTTCCAATGCGCAATTTGTTTAGTAGATTGAGATTAACCTGGTAACAGGATAAATCTTTATCAAAGCAGCAGTATTTATTTGCTATAGAAACACAATCACGTTTGAAGACAACATTTGGGTAGACTAATTTCTTTTCGACTGAGTGTGATGTAGTTACGTTATACTAATCTTATCTTTTTTGTAAACCGACATTTTTCTATCAAGTTAGTTCAGACATATAAACATTTTGTCTAACTTCATATTTCAACTGTTTCAGCTTGTAAGCAACCCATGAAGAATAGAATGATCTATTTTATTCCAACAAATTTCTTTTCTCACTTCACTATAAGACTAAACTGAAGTATTTTCGAAAAAAGCATTCGACAACAATCTAATCTCCATGTTATTTATCAGAACAATAGAGAAAATTTACATAGTCACCCTTCTTGCACAAGAAACGTCATGTA